TCCCTCAATGCTTCTCCTTCATTCTAATGGGTTCCGAAGAGGTGGGAAGAATCTTTGGCTATTCTTTATTTGGCTACAAACTGCTCGACAAAAGCCTTGGCCAATTTTATAAATGAGGGGATCATTCCGGACAGAAGCGAATAGAACCACGTTCGAGCCTGTTCTTTGAGGGTGGCAGGAAAGACTTGGCAGAGGAGGGCGTCTGAGGCTCGCTGAATGTGCATGATGGTTATGTAGTGGTCGATATGCTCATAAGGATCGGACGTTCTGTCGTAATACTCAATGCTGGGTACTTTGAATCCAACCAGAATGGGATGCTATAGTATGACCTCAATTAGAGGTGATGACTCATGGAAGTCTCTCTATAGGAGAGCTTGTCTCACATCTCCTTGGGGGAACTCTTTCCTTACCAATCTTCGTAGCTCATGACGCAGGGCATTGTGAGGGAGTTTCGTAATGTGTGGTTGGGCAGAGTCTTCTGGGAGATCTGGGAGAATGTGAGGCTGCTGAGTCAAGGGTAAAGGATGTGTAGAACTTGCTGTATCTGCAAGTTTATTATCCTGTCGTGACTGAGGATGCCTTCTAGGTGGAGGAAGATGAATCTCTGCTTGAAGATGTTCGAATTGAACATCTTCAGCCTGTGGTGGATCCCGAGGGAGAAGGACCTCCTCCCATTGTGCCAGTGTCGACTGCCGATTCTCTCGCAGGAGTTGAAGGATCTCATTGTGAGATTTTTCCATCTTCCTGATTCTTTTTTCTAAAGAAGGTCCCGAGGTTCCTTCTCCGGTAGCGTTTTTCCCCCAGGATGAAAGGAGGTAGACATCGGGCATCTGTGATTCATAGATTAATTTTTGGATTGGTGGGAGTTGGAGCGGGAAGCTCCAACGATGCGACTACTACGTCAGTTAACCATTGTAGCAATACTTGAAGTTCATGGGATAGTGGTTCTCACAGACAGCTCCAAACTGTTGCGAGCTAGAATATACGCGACGATACTTGGGTCCCCTCTTATGAGAAATGAGGGGTCTATTTATAGTTTTTCTAGAGTGGCATGGCTTGTAAATAGATGTGAGATCAGGGGCGAACAGGGAGTGGTTGAATGGACGGTTGATATTGAATCCCTTGATCATACACCGTTCGTCGCCATTTGAAGGCTTTAATGATGTCGGAATCCGGCGATCTTGGGCTCATTGGATTCGTCTCGTCGAGCCATTCGATTCGATTATAAGCTCGTTAAAATCGGAGACCGTTTGGTAACTCAAATTGTAGTACGAGCTTTCCAACAGCGCTTCGGTGCTTGATTTTGGCTCATTTGGGCTCGGATTGAGTTCAATTTGGTGTCGTTGGGTTCGTATTTCCGAGACGCTCAGTTTGACTATAAGCTTGGTGAAATCGGAGTTCTGATGCTTCCGAATTTAATTTATGAAATTTCCAACTTGATTTTTGCGCCGAGATTCGTGCCCGGTCAAGTAATTTCGTGATGACGTATCAAGAATGATGTCCCAAATGAAGCAGTATTTTCTGGCTAATTTATTATAGCACGTTTAAAATTTTAGCATATTTGATTTCTATTTAAAATTGACTTTCTTAATGATCTTTCTTTGAAAGCCTTTATAACGTTATACACATGCAAGTCATAATAACGTTTGTTTAAAACAGAAATCATATTCAAGACAGCGGTGATATTCCATAAATCACCATATAAAAACAAAATAATAGGTTTTCTTCTAGAATTGTGAGTGTAGAGTCAATAAGTGCAATAGTGAAATTGAAATGAATGATCAAGACAAGTGGAAGTACTTTCTTTAGTTCACATTAATGAGTCGAGTTGAATCGGATCCGAGTTACTCCCAATTTGAGTTTGAGCTTGATTAATAAATCAAGTTTGAGCTCGAGTTTGATTATACAAGTTCAAGCATTGCTCATTAGCTCATCAAATTTGATTCACGAGCCAATCCGAGTAAGCTCACGAGTCAGCTTGACTCATTGCACTCCTAGCTCACACACCACGCTAAATTTAATGACTAAAGGGTTCATATATGGTTGTATTTGGATTGAGGAACAAAGAAAATTAAATAAAATCTCAATAATTTATAAATAGTTATTTATTTTAGCTTTTAACATTTATTTTTCTTCTCTTACTGTTTTGATTTTCAAAATATAATTATAATGTTTATTTGAATGTTACTTTTTTGTTGCTTGAAAAAGATTTTTATATCAGGAAGCTGCATTTTACAACTTATTAAAGAATTCATGTCATGATTATTCGATAAGTTTTATGCTAGTTGTCTACTACCTAATAATACCTTCAACTTTTCTCATGCAAGACTTGGGACCAGACAACGATAATATTAAAAATGATTCATGTAGTCAACCCCACGTAGTGGATAATGGCTTGTATTATTATTATTGTTGAAGCTTCATTTACAATAACTTTCAAAAAAATTATTTTTTCATTTAACAAATTTATAATTATCTTTATAATAAGTTGCACTCATCCCAAACAGATCGGAAAGCTCACTTCGAAGATTTATTTTCTCTAATCATTGATAGTACTTAATTTATTTTATTAATGAGGGTGAAGGTCTGTGCCTAATCTAATTTGAGAAATAATTTTGTTGAAAAAAGCCGCTATGGCACCTAACATCTATTATTATGTTGACTAAGAACTTTGATTCCTATACGTAATATAAACCAAATATCTCTCATATTTGTTCGCGTGGATAGCATGCGGTGGAAATGATTGAGAAAAGGATAAATTGGTCAAGACAAAGAAAAAAAAAATTGTACATATATGTACACATGCTAATCCAAAGGTTTGTCAATTTTAGACTTGTGATTCGTATAGATGGCACAAAGAATTATTTTTTAAGAATGATGGATATATTGAGCAATGATTCATATGGTAGTTATTTCAATATAAAGTAAATATTTATAGTTATGACCTAAAGTTATCTCACTATGGTTTCTAGATCACGTTATTCGACTATGATTGTTAAACTATTATCTGTTTACTGCAATCTCCCTACCACTTATTAGTTTTGTGTGGAATCTGATTGTGTCAATCAATCGGGTTGCACTCTATCTATATTTGTCATAGATGTCTTTGGCAAGTGGATTATTATGGTGCAACATAATAGAACTCTTTTGGGGAATATGAAAGCCATTAATATCAAATGTCTCGGAACCATTACTAATGGCATTAGAATCCAAAAGACAATAAAGAACATCCATAGCAATGCAGAAAAAGTATGGACTTAAGGGACACCCCTTCCTAAGCCCAGCAGTGGAAGGGAGGGAAAAAACCTTCCAAATTACCATCCAAACAAACAGCGAAATGCACTGGTGATATAAGCCTGAACCCATCTAATAAAAATTGGAGGAAATCCTTTTTGAGCCATTCTCTTAAGCAGGAAATCTCTAGAAAGAGAATAAAAAACCTTCTTAATATCTAATTTTTGCACACATAAAATTGCCTTTATTGCATCTTTTGAAAAAAATCAGCATTTCAGTAGCCAAAATGATGTTTTTCGTGGCAATTATGTTTAACCAGCTTGAGACTTATTGATAATGAGAGGCATAATATGCTTGAGCCTAGAAGCTAAAATTTTAGTAATTATCTTATATAATGTGTTAAAGAGTGAGATAAGCCTAAAATTCACAATAGAGTCAACATGTGATGACTTAGAGATAAGAGCAATGTAATGCCCCAGATATCAATAGTGAAAGGATTCATCTATCATTTTTTTCATCTTTCTTCTCGATCAAATCAATACGGTCATCAAGAGACAATTGCATTACAAGAAAGAAATACAACAATTACTATAATTCCCATATCAACATATACACAATCAAAAGATCGTCCAAAAGAATATGTACAATAGCCCAACAGCTACAAAACAAAGGCCTGCCATAGGCAACAAAACAAGACTACGCTAGCAACCAAAGAAGCTTCACGCGGGAGGCTCT